TATTTCTGCGTCTTTTAATTATCACGTGAGATTGAAATTAGTACACCCGACTGCTTTTGAATTATTCAAACGCTCCAAATTATATTTTTGTAGTTTGAGAAAAGATTATATAGAAACGAGATCAATTCAGGTATTATCTCTTCTAAATTCACGGAATATTCCAGTATATTTTTTTAAATATAATGTCAAGTTTATTAATAAAATTTTTGTTTCAAACATTCGATTTATCAATTTATTAAAGCACGTCGGATTAATCCATCACAACTGCATGCGTCTAAATCTAACTCTATTCCTCATAATTAAATAAAATTTTTCATATATTAATTAAATTAATTAAAATGTTTATTAACAATGGAATTCTGACCCGTATGTGGCTCAGAATTAGATAAAAGATCAAATATTAATTTTAATTAAAAGTTTTTTTAAGTGACGCATACAATAATTAAAAAGTTTCCTTTTTTCTTGAAAAGAAAATACAATGGCTTTAAAAAATGTATGGTTTTTAAGAGATTCAATCTAATATCTAAAAACGAGAAAAGTAATGAGTAATGAGATCATGTAAAATAATCTAATCTGTTTAAAAAAAAATATTTTAAAAGTAAAGTTAAAAGAAGTTAAAAAAAATGGCACCGTACAATTAATATATTATATCTGTCGTATGCTCTTCTGCGAGTGATCTTTAAATGCGCGATTAGCAGAACGAAATATCGCGCGCACAAAGTTTTAACGAGTTGAAACAGATGTGTCTATGCAAATCGGAATCGGCGAGATCACAATACACATGAGATCGCACTGCCATCAGCGGTATATATCGAGCGACGGCAGAAATGCTCTGTAGAAAATTTCAATCTTATCGTCGACCGTGAGAACATTCCTCGTATTCTTCTACTGTCACGCACGTTTCCCTTTGGGAAGAGATATTGCTTACGACTCTCCTATGTAAGCGTCGTATGTGATAGCAATGACACACTCGCGGAATAAAAATAACGGTGAAGTAACAGAGAAAATATTTCACAATACTTTATTTAATTGACATATTATTTTTGCCACGTTTATTTTAAAACGTCTTTTATAAGTTCAATTCAATCGTCTCTATCTGCTGCTTAAGATAATGTTAGAAACAGATAAATCTATTAACGTCAATTTAATCAATATTTATAGAACCGAATATGAGACGTGGAGACGAGCTCTTCAGCTTTGTTATAAGTTGATTAAAAAGATGTTTTGCTTTCATTTTTAGACGCACGATCGATTGTTATCGATCGGCTACTCCAGCGCACAAATGACGAAGAATGCGACACCCACGCGCATTCCAAGCTTTCTTTCGTGCGGCTCACCCACGCTGATAACCTACACGCGACGCGTTACTTGGTTGAGGATCATGCATAAGCGTTTACCGAATTACGACAGCATTCAATCAGAACTCCTCCGTATAACGGATGCGGCGAACCCCAACCCCGATCGATCCCACCCGCAAGTTTCTCCAAGGCCGTCAACTCTCGTCGAAACTTTCGTAGTCAGGAATCTCCGAGAGGATTCCTCTCCGGTAAGGACGCCTTTTCAACAGGTACTTCTCGCCTTTTTGCGTGATGCAAGATCGTCTCGCGGATTACGACGGAATCGTGCCGCGACGATATCGACGAAGTAAAATGCCGCTGGATTGATTCGCCGGTGTCGTTACAGCGCTCGACTGATTGAAAGTACGTCGATAATCGCACATGTCTCGCCATTCTACATATCAAAGACGCGATTTTATTTGCGATACGTGCGACACGCGAATCGACAAAGCTCCTCGCGACAATTGAAAGGTGCAGCGTGAAAATTCGTACATTATCGTCCGAAAGTTCCGTAAGTAATTTAGCTAATATGATGAATACTATTAATCACCAACATCGCGTGTCCGACACGTCTAATTAAAACATGTTGAAAGGCCGGGGAGTAAAACATAATCATCAGTTTCGTTATAGAATGATACTTATTATCGTTTAATTCTCACACTGCCATTCTTGCTCTCTATGTATCACTGATAATAAAATGCAAATTCGGCGAAGTAGTAAATAACATCAGCGAAGGAACCGAGTCTATCTGCCCAGGTGCAAAATTATAAAGTTCTCACGAAGGCAAGCCGAAATTTCGCGGTTGGCGCGACGTACGCATTAACGTCCGTGGATGAGTTATCACCGTGAATAACATTATACCGAGTTCGCCGAGTATTATTTCCGTACCTACGTATGTATGTATATATATATATATGTACGTACGTACGTACGTTTCTCGTACCTCGCGCTTCGTACTTCGCATTCCGTAAGATATAATGACATTATTACGAGCTCCTGAGAGGATACTCCCTATTCGCATATAAGGGTTACAGACGAACACGCGAAGCGAGCTATCCCCATCACGCGGATTTCCGCACGCGTGTTTCCGCACGAGGAACGATCGCATGAGCGCATTTTTATTATATACGATAGAGTCGCGTCCGTGCGTACGTGCGCGGTACATCGCGTACACGGAATAGAGAGGAACGCAGGAATTCCTGGATTGTTGTTTGACATTCTAACGGAACGTATGCGCGGGGGTATTTAATTAAACCGACGGTCAGAATGAAGCGAGGAGAAGCGAGGGCCTGGCCGCCGGCCGGCCGGCCGCGCCGTTTCTGACCGACGCGACGTACTGACCGTGTCGTGTCACTTTAACGTTTTGCGCCGGGGAGAATATACGTCCGTTTGCATTACACTCCGCGGTAATGCCTCGGATCCCTACACGATATTCATAGAGATGCTTAACACGCAGCCGACTTTTCCCCTCGTCCTTGCTATACGCGCATAAAACGTCGCGTCTGAAATTAATGCGCCGTACGCAGATTGTCGCGTTTTCGGGGTCACTGTCGGTGGCGCGATCGAAATATATAACGTTGCAACGACGACACAGATCACCTCACCGATAGGTCCAATCATTCTTAATGGCCGCGTGTAGAAATAAACAAATGTATCACTGATATGTATATATGCGTGACGAGAAATGATAGCTGCATAACTGTGAAAGTATTCGCGATTAGTTTTGAAAATTTGATGATTTAATCTTTCACGGCTATATAGAAGATAGTAATGAATGTTCTCTAGAGAGTTTCACGTACTACTGACACGTAGGCTGGAAACGTTGCGCGTATATCGACTGCAAAATTGCAGTCATACGGCAGAGATTTATGTATTCGCGATTCTAAATTAGCGAGGTGCGTAGGTTTATGTGCATATGTACTTATGCATACGTACTTATATACGTGCACTTAATGCTCGAGCGCAAACAGTATATAGCATTATGTAAACTTCCACGAGACAAATTTGCCTTTTACGAAATGAAATGGCTTGTAAACATAAACAAATCATGACTCCCTTACATCTTGCATTCATAACATGCTCGTAAAGAGATTGAAAAATTTTACGTCTTTTTAGCAGTATTTAAAATTTTTACAGTTATTTTGAGAATATAAAGAATATCTTCTAAAGGATGTAAAATACTTAATACCTCTTAAAAAAAATTTATAATAAAAAAGATAATAATATATCGTATTATGTGATAAAATTTATTTCTTTAGAAGATTTCCTTCAATCCACTCGCTTTAAAAAATATATTGATAACAAAGATAAAGGCAAAAGCCTGTATATTTGTCAGTGATTTGCAATTGAACAGCAAATAAGTACGATTCGTAAATATTAGGTATATCGCTTACGTTTAAAGGTTGCCGGTAGCAATTACTATGCTGTGTCGAGGTACGATCGACCCATGCGTTTCCGCTGGATTAATTGCCCTTAAACGGGGCCAGACGGGAGCGATAGGGGCGCGGAGAAAGGGGAGGGACGCTCGTGGGGTGAGTGAGCTCGTGGGCGCGATTAAATCACGCTCGTTAAATCGAAGCGGACGGTGCGGGTGCCGCAAAAATTGGTGGCCCGTTTATTCCGACCGGCTTTAAAATCGGCACTATATGACGTGGACGAGCGATGAAAAATTAATGAGCCCACCGGTTGCCACAGTCGGCCGGCCAAAAAGAGGGCGGCGCAACGGTGTGAGAACGGAGAATGGCGGATATCTGCGATAACAGTTTTCCGTCCGAGTACTACGTATCGGGCTTTTTCCTTCCTCTTTTTATACGTCTGACCGCGATGGAATTAAAAGCGTCGAATGCGACTGCCCGCGTCGAGAGATCGAAGGTGAGTTAAATCCAGATGGTTTGCGACATCCGCATTAAAATTAATCGACTTCCGACCCATAAGAATTGCGCGCGCGTGAAAAATTCGTTTCTACAATATTGATTCTCATTAATTGTGAATTTTAACGATAGAAAATGAATCTTTTCTTTCTTGCACAATATTATAATTTCAACTCTCTTTTCTGGTTGTATGCAGAAATATCTGATTTATGGCCGATTACACTTTGAATTCCGTTATGCCGTTCCAAGGAGCTTCCTATTCATTCCCCAGCAAATTTCTATCTTTTTCTGCTTCCGCTATTGGCGGAACAAGTGAATAACTTTCGACTCGATTCCCGATGAAGTGGCAAGCTCGATATCAAATTGGCGGAGTTCGTCGTGGGATTCGCCCGATAGAAAATTTTTAATGAAAGTCACTAGGGAAGATACGAAAGTTACGGAGAGGCCAACGAAGCGAGAAGAGTCCCCGGTAATCTCCGACATCTTGTTACAGCGCGGTGTAAGAAAGGCGGAGACCAACGGGCGTCCGCATCGCGCCGCGACCTCCTCGTTCAATTAAAGCGTCAGCGTCCGCGGAAAACTTTTATATGAATGGTTTTCATTACGTCGCGGACTTATTAAGGGCGTCTTCACGCGGGCATTAATATCCCCGTCGCAACGAGTTTTGTTATCAAGCGCGACCATTCAGCCCGCAGTGCACCCGGCACCGGCAAGCACGGTAGATACTGTTTTAGCATCGGCGAGCTTGAAGGGACTGAAATCCGTGAAACTACTGAGATTCTTCTCTACGTACCGCTCGTTGCTCGTGGCTTCCTTCAACTACAGAGTTTCTTGTTTTTGAATGTAGTAAAAGCCTCTCGATGTCGGCTCCCGCCAAGTGTGCCCTGGTCAATTATATCGATCTGAAAAAGGAGAAAGGTTCGCGTTACCACAGAAGCTTTGGAAGAATTTTTACTACATTGAATGAAAATACACCGCGTCGCCGATAATATTTTGTTCCGAATAAGAGGCGGAAGTAATTCATTTTGGTATACGTGTGATATTAAAGGACTAAGCAACAATGGTCGGTAATTTGCTATTCGGAGCCACGCCGCAGAAATGTATTCTTGCGTGATGATATATGCATCACGCGCGGTAATCGTACGGTCGGTTACATGAGCACATCGCTATACGTTCGACTAAACCGGTGATAAAACAAATCGTGACAAATTGCCAGCGAGATGTAGCAGTCCCGTGCCACGCAATTGCACCAGCGATGGTTTCACCGAGTTAAAGAACGAAAAAACGCAACGAGAAAAGCGAACTGCATCGAGCCCGGTTGCATCGTAAATAAACGCTTTTTACTTTCATTATAATATTATCGTTCCTTGAATAATACACGTATAAAATACGCATTCAAGATTAACGTCTCTAGTTTCAAAGTAATATGTTCCGCGCGATATGTTCTTTAAGTAACGGCGATTACAACGGTGATACGGCAATCCGTACTCCGCAACGTGAAAAGAACATCGGGCGCAGAAAGACAGACGGCACCGGAATTATGCCTGCGCCAAAGTAATTTCTGTGTGGCGGGTGGCTTCCTGATTTCGCAGAGTGCACACAGCCTCCGCGGACTTTCTGGCTGTAATGAAAAATTGCGTTTGCGCATGTCCCATCTCTTAAGTACGTCCAAGAAGCTGATTCTCCAGCACTAACACCGGTACTCGCAATGTGCGTGTGCCGCCATAGTTGCCCGCCAGACTGTTGTAATTTCGCATTGGTAGAAGAGACAGAGAAGAGCTTAAGAGCAGCGGCGGGGAGAGAGGACGTGGGAGATAAGACAAATGGAAATGACGGAGAAGAAGCGCGCTCCGGCAAAAAAGATCAAAATTATAAAGACGGTAGACAGTACAAAAAAAGTGCGTAATGTCCTCGATGCTGCACCATACGAGGAGAAAATACGTAAGATACAAACACATTCCGCTGTTCCTTTTATGTGATCCAACAAGAAGCTAGAAACACAAACTTTTAGCACAAGAAAATGGACCACTGACTGTGGTCGAGCAGCAGCGCTAAGTACCTGGTGATAATGAACGAGTGGTTGCTGGTAAGTACTTGGTAAGTATAGAAGTGAGTAATAAATATTGTGTCCTTTGCCGTTCGACTTCCTTCCTATGGTAGTTGAGTACAAAATGGTAGCCTTAAGCCATTTCTGCTTTCGCGGAGGTATTTCTACAGTTATTACTTAATTTCGCAGTCTCGATGCATATGCATGACTGTCATTAATATCGAAAACGCAAAAAAGATTTCAGAGATTGATATGATTAAAGATTGATATTTCAGCACAAGTAATAGACCATTGAGAATTGGAATCTTTTAATTGACTAAAAAAAATGACACGTGTAATTGTTGACAATACCGTTAAAAGAGCAAGGATGTATGCGTTTTCCGATAAAAACAGCTTGATCGTTGAGTCCGTCATGGAATTATGAAATTCTACAGGAGTTAGTTTCTTGCTGATTAGAGTTTAGGTATCCCGGAAGATCCTCATTCGCGGGAATGCGAGTAAGAAAATGCACGTGCATCAGAAGTTAATTCACTAGTCTTCTGTATAAAAAATTCGGATGCTTGTCGGACTTGTAGAATATAAGTACATCAATCTTTTCCCATAATATACTCCCTCGATGTGATTTTATACTTGTGCCTCTCGAAAAATAACCGGTTACTCTCGGAACAGTTATAGAATTGCAATGCGTCTCTGCTGGAAATCTCATTAATTTTTAATTTACATAAATGTCATCTGGACAAGACAGCTGTGTAAGCTTTTTAAAAATGGCAAAATTGAAAAAAATAAGCAGTTCGTATCTTATCCGCACGTGTGTAATCCCACATGCCTCTTATTACGCCTCCTCGTTTCCCTCCGCCTTCTGCGCGCCGGCACGAGTTCGCGACGCGCAAATTCGTGCCGCAATTTCGCCGTAATTTAATTTAACGCGGCATCGTCCGAGCAAACTTTCTCGCTTCCTAAATCCCGTAGGAGCTCGCTGTCGGGCACAAGCGGATGGATTTTTATCGCCCTTTCCCCATCGAGCTACTGGCTCCCTCTCCTCCGTCCTCTCTTTCTCCACCCCTCCCCCCTCTCTCTAACTCTCTCACTCACTCTAATTTACAAACTGATTTTTGATGAAATTGTGAAATTGGAGTTGGACGAAACGCACGAAGGGAAAGAGGGGTGATTGCACAAGACGGAAGCTTCATTTCGGATTTAGAGGCAAACATATTTGCCGGATTCAATTAGAGTATAAACTATTTCCTTTCTCTCGGCGTTGAAACCTCAATATAAATTCTAGCCCGTTACGCAGCAATCCCGGATTATTATCATTATTATTATCCGATGAATAAATTATTATGCGCGACGTGCTATTTCACTCTATATCTAATTTATTCGCTCACTTAATTCCCCTTAAAATACTACAGAGAATAAAATACTGCACGGAAAACAATTTTTAAGTCATATTTTTGTGGTTATTCTTGACATTCCACGCCACTTTCATTACTTCATATTTTTTTGTGTTGCGCTGCCTCGTTGGATCGTTTCGTATAGCGGATTTGTGTATTGGAGAGTATGCGTGTATGTGCGTGTATGTGTGTGTGTGTGTGTGTGTGTGTGTGTGTGGAGCTCTCTCAGCTGCATTCGCACGATCCTAGTAATTTGTCGCAGCGGTGCATTCAACGCTGCGGATCGAAAGGATTAAAAGCATCTATGGATACACGAGCCGGATCGAGTTGCAAAAGCAGTTTGTGTTAATAACGTGCGATCTTTTCTGTCATCATTCGTAAGCTGCGATCGATAAATCATATATCGCGCAACAGCAGCGGAGCGCAGCAACATCCGTTTTTAGAACCACCTAGTTAACAGCTTAATGTTGAGTTTACGATCATTGTTTCTAGGCTAGCTGCACGCTATTCGCAAATAGCTACTGTACAGTGCAAATATGAATTAATACTGAAGACAATATATATAACTTCTTATCTAAGGAAATTATAAATTTAACGATTATTATTTTATCACTGTGCCAATGACTATTTTAATAGTTCTATTATATCTCCGGAAATATCGATTATCGACTATTGTAATATATTTCTGTAAGAGACATGAGTCAAATGCCATTTGAGATGGTATTATTGAAATTGAATAAAGGTTAATGATTAATATAATATATGTATAAGATCAAGTATTTTTATCCAGAATTAAATAATTTTTTACCAATTATTCCATATGAGAGCAAAATAGTATAACAATATATTTTATACATGGATACTGTTTATTTCGTGGTAATAAAATAATCTTAGAAAATAAATATAATTATAACGTATTTTTCTCTAAAAAAAACATTCTAAACTTTTTTGTTGATTTCACAGCACATTGACTATTAATAGGCTCATATTTGAGTATTTGCAGAATGGATCCGTTTCCCGTTTTCATGTCATATCGGAAATACCGTTTCTTGTCTCTTCCGTGTGATTGCACTAAAGGTATTCGCGTCGCGCGATTTTATGGATGGTACAACGGAAGCGCATGAAAGCACGATGAATACGTTCGATGTGCATCGAGAAAATGCACGCGCGGAGTGGCAGGGCAAAACAACGTGATGAAATCAAATTCTTTTTATAGTTTCCTGCGATTTTTTTCCAATTTTTCGAAGATCGGTGAATGCTTTCTAAACAATAAGCTATGCAGCAAATCATTTTAGAGATGAGGTAATCCAAGATGTTATCATCGTATGTATTTTATTCTGATTAAACCAATATAACTTCTAAAAGAATTACATTTTTTATGCAATATGCATAAAACCGTTATGCATTGAAAATATCTTCTCGATTCATGTAAAATTCGACAATAAATTTACAATGTATTTAAAATTAACGTCGAGTGATTTAACGACTAATTGTTGGGCAAACACTCGTCAATGTTGTGCTTCCTCGGAATTTGCGCGAGCGCTTCCCAAGCAAGTTCCCCAGCGTAGAATTACGTCAACGGAATTAACATTCGTCCGATAGACGACAATTTGTCTTTGCGCCATTAAAATTCTTCGAGGAGTTCCTAGGAGAGTTCCCCAACTGAAACATCCTCCAACAACTCGGTTGGAGTATTCGAGTCCTCGAAATGTCGCAAAAAGTTGGCCGATGTTAATGGGTCGGTACGATTACGTGAACCGCAAAGCAGCACGACTGCACGGCCAGCCGCGTCGAGAGAAGCAAAGAACAAAAGTACCGTTATTCCTTGCGCCAAGATGCAGCAGCGATACTCTCGGCTCCAGGAGCATCATGCCACCGTGGACGAAGTTCTCGCCGTTGAATTATGCATGATTTCCTGCCCTCGGCCGTCGCTATAGCCGCTAACCATCCGCGTCACCGCCACTTTCGCCGCGCCTTATTTAATAATCGCGACGAGATCTCTCTAGTACTAGAAAGGCGCGGCGACGATGTTGTGGGTGAGAAACTTACGTGAGCTGAGTCGTATATTCGAATGTTATCTATCGGACAAGATCCAAATTGTAGAATTGAAAGAATATGGAGAAAGAGAGAGATAGTTTGCATTTTTTTAATTCACTATTATTTAAACGTCCTTCGAATTGTATAAAAATCAAACGATTTATAATCCTTTATACCTTTACATATACATACATACGCCCTATATGAAATATATTCTTTTAAATTTAAATCTAAATATGACGTTTATTTATATTTATATATATATATATATATATATAAGTTCAGATTTCTTTATTCCATATTCTGTACCTCGACAATTATAAATAATTATAGCTTGATTACTTCCTGCGGCATTGAGTATCAATTGCGGCAACACGAGGACAACGAATAAAAAAATTAATATATAATTATTTGCATGAGATCGTAC